TAATTACAGCTTCCATCGTAATGGTTCTTTACAGAATGGTATTTGAATATGATTTCTTTCTGAAGTACTTAAAAATTACCCGTTTCCTGTTACTTTGACAGTTGGACCTTGATACATTAAACTGTCCATGCACACAATTATCTCATCATGAAATCTCTGTTATGAACGATGGCAATTTAAATGAGGCATACTCTGATAATTTACTTTTTTTCTTCTCAGATTGCAGTTATAGTAGACATAACATTCTGTACAAATACACATTTAAACTATAGATAGAAAACTAATACTGTCAAACATTTAGTTGCATTCTATTATCACAATGAATGTAAAAATGTAATGAAGAATAATATACCATAAGTTACCTACCAATGAAATCTAGTATACTTTAAAAATGACAGGTAAATTTCTTAACATACATTATTAATAAATTAATTATTTGGGTAACTTCGTGGATTGGTTGAAGTTAGACATTAACACCGTTGGATGCCGGCTCAGTGGTCCAGTTGGTTAACCGCCTGGCGCGAGACTGATAGGTCCTGGGTTCGAGTCTCGCGGGGTGCGGGATCGTGGGTGCGCACTGCTGAAGAATTAGTCATATATCATAATTTCTTTTTAAAAATAATTAAAGACAATAGTTAATTCTTTCTTTATTTAAATATATAAACAATCCGTATATTTTTCATCCTACTATCTTAGGAAAACTTCTTACTCTACATCCAACTAAATGAACTAATTTTCAGTATTCAATTTCACTGAAAGACATATTACTAAGTATTATTACAGAGTTTTTCATAATGTTCCTTTATTTCAAGTCGATGGATTAATTAACTAACCTCTTGAATAATTATGAAGCAATAAAAAAAAATACAATATCGAAGTGTTTGAATTATTTTTTCTAATCAATCAAAAGTAGATATCTATCATTATAACATTCTATAATACAATGACAGTTTAAGTTTATTTATAAAACTTAAGTGGGTTTTATATTATCAATTAAAACAAATAAAATCATAATTATACTGTTTTAGTTATAAAAATAAATTTCTGTTACTATGTTGGATAATTTGACTAGTTTAATGAAATGAATAAATTTAGTCAATAGTAATCTAAATTTCAAATCAAGTTGACAATGAGGTTTAAGTGTTATAATTTTATTTATTTCTTTTCTTTTCTTCAAGAATGTTCACACTTTATTCAGTTGTATCGATAGTCTAAATGATTTAGTCTGATTAAAAGATGATAATTATATCACATTAATCCTCATTGAAATACTAAATACAATTATGTTAAAGTTAATATGAACAGATAATTTATTCACTTCAAAAGATTAAATGGGATATGGTTTGTTCAAAGATAGTTTTTTTTATTCATAAATGATATATATTGAAAAAGCTATTGATTACTGGGAGGAAGTGTAGAGGAATTAGTCTGGTATGGTTTGGTACTTTGAAATATCGTGTATTTATTTATTTAAACACATAAACATTGGTGTATCAAATAGATATGCGCAACACAAAACTCATTTGATTTGTGTGACGGCTGTGATACTGCCCGGGTGCCCAAATCGAAGTAGACGGTTTTCTTAGGGAGCCACACCCTAAGCCTCTGACCTAAAGGTCTAATCCACAGGGCAGTGGAGTAACGTCAGATGAAGTCCCATGGTAGCCTGAGACCTACAATAGGTTCATATTCCATTTGTTTCCTTAGGATCTTGGAGTTCATGTACACCATTGGTTCGCTATTCGTCCTTTCAATTTCGTAAACAACACTCCCACCGCAAGAAGGCAGTGAGTAGGACTTTCCTGGCAGTGGTTATATGCACGTGGCCACTTGAGAACACTTCAAGGGGGAGAGCGGGCTCTTCCCACTCTCGGCCGTACCAGAGCATTTGGGAGCACTTCTAAATGCCGAATACACTGACGATATGGAATCCAGAATTTTAATGACTTGATGAGTTTTGTAGTTAAATCAGAAATTAATCAGTAACAGTAATGATTACAACCATATGATTTACATTACACAGTTATAGTGGAAATCCCAATGTTTTCGAAGATCTTTAGATTTATATGATAATACGAAAGGTTATTTTGTGCTTTCCATTTTATATAAACATAAATAATTCACTGCTTCGTATGGTATCGCTTTATGTACATTTAAGGGAACCAAATTTGCTACATCTAGATATCCTAAACAATGGGATGGTTTTCTCCTACAATGTGCTTTAACTCAACAAGAATTCATGTACCAAACATACTTGTTGTTAAAATTATAATGCCCAGATACAAAAACGTATGAGCTAACCTCTTTGTTTTCTAAATAAATTGTGGTAAATAACCCATTCCACTGATCTTAAAACACACTTATTACTGGTGTTTCATGAAATCATTGTACACATTAGGGTCAAAATGATTTCCACTAGTTCGTAAATTCAGGTATGTATTTTACACTTTTTAACAAAAGAAATATAAATCGATATACTTGAAATATTTTACAATCACTTTAATATTTTTATCATACAGTCCTATAACTGCAAAAATATGATGTTGGTATTCCGAAGCACTTTTGTAAGCTTTTTATACATTTACCACCATTGAAATGGTAGTCTAGCTTAGATCGATTCATGAATTCAATTATTAAAATTACTACAGTCTCCACAAACCCTCATCCTGAGTTAGAAACTAACTTTCTGTATAAAGTTTTGGCTTGAATATTACCATGTTTTGAATAAATTTCTTGTGAATTTCTATTTTTATTTCGCGTAAAACATACAAATGGTGAATCAGGAATAAGTAATGGTTTCTTTGACTTCATCGTTTGTCTATTAAGGCAGATAGACAAAAGCCTCAGTTTTGAACTAATATGATTGGTCACTTGTTTTAAGGAAAACAAGTTAGGCGCAGTTGGGTCAGAAGAACAAATCATATTAGGTAGAGGGTGCACATAGTTTGCATTAACAAAGATGAAATTTATTTGTTAAGGCAAGTATGGACAAAGAATATAAACCTAAAAGAGTGAGTGGTCTTTCGAAGACACTGTGTGTGATGCATCCATTCACTGAACCTTTAGTTAAGATAAGATTTATTGATTTGATTGAACCAAAATTTTTGATGAATAGATCAAACGTAAACGTTAGTATATTAAGAGGAATTGTTATCTAAAATTCAGAAGTGATCTGATATTTTACCTCTATGTGACACTACTTTTCACATATTTGAGGTGTAGTAAACTTTTATAGATGTTAGATATTTCTGTGTATTTCACACAAATTAATGCTACATGAAAGATACTGATACATTTATTTCGTGATCTGTCTTTTCCATGTACAGGAGAATAGCTTTTTAATGTGTATTAAAAAGGAAAAAGACTTCCAGCCACATAATAAATTCATACAGAGATATATTAAGTGACTTGTATCTTAAAATATATATAGGTCTTGTGTTTGAATCGCGCTGGGCAGGATCGTGGATGTGCATTACTGAGGAGTCCCATACTAAAACGAAAGGATCATCCAGTGCTTCGAGGTTTTCCATGGTGATCTAGCTTCAATTGACTCATGAATTCAACTATTAAACTACCGTTTTAATTGCTGTAATGAGAACATTTCTAAAATTTTATAAAACTACGAATGGTTTTGACGGTAAACATTCATGTTCTGAGCACAAGTCCAACATCAAACTTTTAGCTCATAAATTTAATCATATGATAGAAACTGAAGTGACATTCTGAATAAAATATTGATTAGAGAGGTTTGGTTTAAAATGATCTTTCACTTCTATGTTATTTATCTTCTAAATGACCAATTTGTTGTCAGTATTTGTATTACGAAAACAATGACTAACTCCTCATTTTCAAAATTTTTATGGATACTGAATTCACACAGAAAACTTCAATTCATACTTCTTTAAAACTTATACCCAGTCAACTGTAATAATAAACAGAATACTAAACTCATATAAACTTCCTAATGGTTTAGATTACTTAGATTCTAGACGTTAGTTGAATTGGAAAACATTCAGCTTTTAGAGAAAAGTAACATCAAGTTTGTTCCTCTGTGGGAAAAGCTATTAATATTTGTATTAACCTTTAGTAAAAAATCAGTTACTTATCAAATCTTTAAGGATTGTGGAGTGTAATATAAGAGAAAAGCAAATATTTCATTTAGAAATAACTACAGTCATTTAATTTATATTTAAAGATTATAATAAATTGTAATAAGGATAATGGTTTAGGGTTTTGTAGCTTTGACCAACGTAAGCATGCGACATAAAGGTGTAAAAATCCTTATTTGTGTATACTATTATTATTAGTGGGATAACGAAACTAATGTTACTGAAATACCATATCTTATGCTGCCAGATAATTTGGTATGAAGTCAATAATGTCGATGAAAGTTGCGTTATTTTACTTGTGTTGTTTTATCTCCAAGTTCTCTCAGTTGGGATTATACCTTGTGTGAATTAAAAGTATTTTCAAGATAACTTGCAACTGAAGTTAGAACACCATGGAACATCTAGAAGCACTGAATGGCCGTTTCGTTCTCCTCATCAGTGCTTATCCACGATCCTGCCTCATGAGATTCTAACCCATGACCTATCAGTCTCGCGTGCGAGCGCTTAACCACTAGACCACTTAGTCGACATCTATTTAATTATTTAATTATTTAGTGGAGTGTATCAATCAAATTAATTTTGAGTACAACAAATATTCATCAAATCTTTATCAATCTGTGAAAATTGACCAATGTATCTAAGTCGAACTATAGAAGATTCTAATTTCTAAATTTATATATTCAATATATTTGTCATTTGAATGTCTAAAATAATAGTCAGCTCCTTAAATGTACTCGTTTTGAAGTTGGTTTTTAATTGTTGTTAGTTTTTAAAGTGCTTGGTATTATAAATTATACGATATTATCCTTTAGCAAGTCAATTATCAAACTGATTAAAACATTAAACCATCTGTAATATATTTCAATCTTAATAAATATTTACATTATTTAGCTTGTGGCTCATGATCCAGATAGTACATCTAAACTTACATATACAATGGCTTCTTCATTAGAATATCAAGTGATGTCAAGTACATTTCATATTGAAGCTGATGGACATGTTAGACTACACAGTGGTTTAGATTATGAATTACGTCATATTTATTCAATTCCAGTTGAGGTTACTGATGGAGAATTCTCTGCTCGTACTACATTGAATGTTCAAGTATTAGATGTTAATGATGAACCACCAGCATTTGAATTAAATCCTAAACAATTAATCGCTGATGAAAATTCTCCACCTGGAAAATTAATTGGACGAGTAAGATGAATAAATATTTTATTATCTTCCATAAATCATTATTTATTATAATAATAATGCTATAAGTTGTTAGTGTTATCCGATAACAATAATGATTGTATAGTGATTGAATCTTCTCATACTCAATGAGAAGCCTGAAATTTTTAGTTTGAATCATATTCAGTGAATTAGACGTTAGTTGTAAAAAAATTTGAAATTAGAATCAACTATCCATTTTATCTGATACATATCTAATGGTTGTAGAGTAATTTTTATTTCGTAAATAAAAACTGTCTTCAAATAGCACAAATATTCTAGTCAGTACTCACACTTTTATTAAAAAAGATATAACGAACTGAACGTATTAGTAGTATTTTACAAGGTGGGGCGACAATCTGAACAATTCTATGCCTTGATATCAAAGCTAACAAAACTGGTTTGATCTTATATGTACGTAATGTTCAATTGAATTTTGTCTTTTTGATGAATGAAAACCTGAAAAAAGTACTATACGGTTCTCTCTACCTAATCATAGAAATGAGGTTCGAAAAGGAAACACTAAATTCATTCACATGCAAAACCAACTTTATAATGCTTATGAGTACCGTATGGAAACCAACACAAATTTTGCGTGCACCAGTTACCTAACGTGATAATAACATTAGATTGTTGCCTAAAAATTAGTTTTCCATTTGACATCCATATCTAAAGTTAATAATTGAAAAGGGAATTGTATGAACAAAATGTCAAGTTACTTTATTCAATGAAATGATTCCTTTATAACGATTTAATTTAGTATATAAGGTGTTGTTTTTTACAAAATTTACATTCTAGGTGCGAATACGTGATCCTGACAGTCCTAGTGTAAATGGACTTGTTGAATGTTCAGAGCCACCAGGATTGATTCGTCGTCAGGCACTTCATTTTTTACCTGATCCAACTGTTAATCCAAGTGCAGAAGTTTACGATCTAACTACCAGAATCATGCTTGATAGAGAAGATCCTGAGAATCCTATACCCGGTCACCTAATCATATATTTAATTTGTTCAGATGGTGCTTTAAGCTCTGGTGGAATGATATCACATAACTCTGATAGTAAAATACGTTTGACATCAACAATGACAGCAACTTTATCCATACGAGACGTAAATGACCACAAACCAATTTTTGAAAATTCATTTATCATATGTCCATTCAAGAAAATAATCCTATTGGTGAAAAGTAGTACAAGTAGGTACTTTATATTATATAATTTATGATGGGAGTATTTATGAAGTGGTTTTTTCGAAAGATGTCAATCGTTATTAGGTTATATCTCTAACCTTCATTGAACTGATTCCAACGGTTAAATTTTAAAGAGTTACCCAGTATCACCAAGGTGCTAATAATGAACTATTAAGACCTCTTTTGGGTGTCTCTTGCAAACAAATGCCAGCCATAATAGAAACAATGTCTCAGGCTTTCCATTGAATGCTTTCAAGAAAATAATACCAATATATGGTCTACGTAAAGTCTGGTCACTCAGACTAAATGACTGCAATTACAACTGGTAGATAAGATTTGATCTGACAGGCAGATTGTCAATAGCCAGTCAGTCGTAAATTAATAACATCTAAACATATTTATTTACCATAATATAATTTCAATGAATTATAATTTGATTAGTTTCAAATGTAGTTTTATTTATTCCTATTTATCTCTATTACATTCATTAGTCACATAAAATGAATAATCTTATATTCTTGTCCTTGATAGATTAGAGCTCATGATTCAGACGACGGAGAAAATGCTAGAATCACGTATTCTCTGTTGGATAGAGCTAACTTCAAAGTAGATTCTTTAACAGGTTGGATTACTCCAAATGTAATATTTGATCGTGAAATACGTGATTCATATCAAGTAAGTAAATATAGGTACAATAAATAATTTGAAGACTAGGATCATTTTTATATGGCTTACTATTAGATTTTTACAACGAAGTAGGATAAGTTTATTATTACATTTAACGATTTGTTCGTTTATTTATTCATTCATATTGAAAACCTTAGTTACATTCGTCTATAAATAAAAGTATAAATTCATTTGGTATTGTTTATTTGAATCTTCACATTATTGTTTAGGACTGTAATTGATCAGTCTCTTATTGGCATATGTGCAATTTGTGCGTATACCTCGATATTGCCTTAATTTAGAAGTATTATAAGCAAAGATGGATAGTGGCTAGCAGTGGAATCCAGGACGCGCGTTTCGTCTTGTTTGGGACTCGTCAGCTGGATGTACCTGCATCTCAGAGTTGATGTTCACTCTAGGACTCGAACTCAGTACCGTTCGCCTCAAACGCCATTGCGTTATCCACTTAGCTACTGAGTCCTGATAGCCACTTGCTTGTGCAATGAGGTGAAGTTTAAATTCACTTGGTATGTTTACTTGAACTGCCTCGATATTGCCTTAATTCACACAGTATTCTATACTGACTTATTAACATTAAATAATGAAAGTTAAAATCTGATATACTTGACAGTTTATTTACTACAATCAATATGCATCAACATGTATATAATCTTCCACGTAATTTGTTTGCAAAGCTTGATTTCTGACCATTAACTGATTTATTCTACAAAGCTGATATGTATTTTCGTTAAATGTGTATATTTCCTCTTCTGGATCGAACTTAATAATGTGATGCTAAATACTTTATTTATAGTTGTTTTATCTTACTATAATTCAGAAATTCTAACCTATGCAGATCCTTTCGGTCATTTTATAGACGATATATTAAAACTGATATCACAAGAAATGGGTTTTAGAAATTCAAAATGAAACCATAATTGTGTGTTACCATAAACTTTTTGGGAAATCATAATTCTACAATTAATTTGGTTTGAACCAATCAAGTAATTCCAAGATTATCTCAATGTAGTTTGTGTTGAACATGCCAGTCAAGTTGTTTGTGTGCTACTGATGTTGACAGTAGTGTGTTATCATCAATTGAAAGTGAAATAGCTGGTGGTAGAAAGTTAAGAAGATCGAAGAGAAGAGAACAAGAACAGAGAATGATTGGTGTGAAAATGAAGGAACAATATTTTACGAATGAAGTATTTACTGTATGGATCTCAGATATTACTAAGGGATTCTTTAATTTGTGTTCAAATACATTTGATTGTCCCCATTTGTGTTCTCGTCCACTACAAAGTGATATTTATTGAAAAATTATGCATAACTAATTAATAAATAATCTGAACATTGACTGACTATATTTTTTTACTACATTTTATTTCATGTAAGTAGTTCGTAAATATAGTGTTTAATTACAAATCGTTGAACTGTATTGAATAATAATAGCTCTTATTTAAACTCACCAAGATAAACAAGATATACGTATAAGCGTCCTAAAAACTGTCATGATGACTTTAAGTCGATATATATGAAGTCGTGTGAAGTGATAGTTCACTTTTCAGAGTGTTTAACTTTGAACACTAGGTCACATACTCAAATGCTGTTCTACCCACTTTGATTTGGACAACTAAGTAGTATCACTAATCTGGACACTTTGAGTGTGGCTTGAAGCCAGGTACACGAATCTGTACTCGGTAAATGAGCAATAATACAATCTCAATATCGCTGCAAAACTGATTAAAAGATTAAATGTAGTTGGTTGAAGTTTCGTTCAATGACTACACAATACATCAAAAGTTTCATTTTGGTTATTGAACACATTTTAAGTCTCATAAATTTCATCCGTTGTTCTATCGATCTTCATTTAAGTTTAACAGTAGATTAGGGATAGAGCTATATAACTATCCTGATGAAGTTTCAATTTAAGTTGATATTTAATAATAACGATCCTATTCAATATTACACTTAGTTGATGTAAGGAATTCTGAGCCCAAAATATAACGTCTTGCAAGATATTTCACTTTAATACACTTTTTAACTGTCAAGATTAAAAATACCTTCAAAGCTCCTACAATAATCGTGATTTATCATTCAGTTTTAAACTTGACTACCTCAAGCTTTCCTTTACAATATACGCTATAGAAAAGAAAATTTAAGATATTGTTGAGCACTTATATTACACTTTACATCTCATGTATTCTAATACGCTTGAGTGACGTTCTATCAAGGAAAAGTAAGGAAGAAGGTATACCGATAAACGTGTTATCATTGCCTAAGTTTTGGTAAGTTATCAATGAATAATGAGTTCAATATACAAAATTAGTTAATTAAATCCAAAACCGTAAAAGTATATTGAAGCAATTTCATAATAAACTAAGCTCGTAGATTAAAACCATAACATTCTCTTGTATAAGGTTCCGTTATTTATTATCACCCAATCACAATTTCTACTTAAATAAGAGGTTAACCATATTGACAAGTAACTATGTAATACCATACAACCAATTGATTAGAATTGAACAAGTTACATATTCTAATTTTGATTAGCACGTCTTATAGTACAAGAATCATTCGAAATTATTTATTATCAACCGCTTTAGTCACCAAACACTCACATACATCATAGATTTACATCAAGAAAAAAAACTTTTGTAAAACTATTTCGAATAAAAAATCACCAGAGAATCCCTAGTTATTATCATTTAATTAGCCAGTTTTGGACTATATCTTTTCTACTGTCATTAATAACTTTGGTAAAAAGTATCCCCTACCAATAGGAAATATCTTTCTAAATCTCTTTAACTCCAATATTTCTCCGACTTTCTTTCTGTTGATAAACAACAACTAATAACCATGTTAGCGTTATTGTTTTAGTTAACCATTGTTTATCTTTATCCGCTAAAACACCCCCAGTTTTTTAAAAGAAGACTGATATCATTAATGTTAAACATAAATCAGAAAAAACTCTATTTTTAAGTTTTGGTCACTTCAATCCACATGCAAAGTGTTTTTTTAAAAAGGAATTGACAATTTAATTAATTTTTAAATGATATTTATTATCTTCATCGTTTAAACACAATTTACTATATTTGTGTATTTTTTTTTAACGTTATTTTTGTTTCTGTATGGTTTTCTCTTGTCGAGTTTTTCTTTTCTTTCTTTCTTTCTATCGCATGTTAACCAAATATACAACAAGACAATTGATCTACTTTATGTAAAAGTAATAACAATTAGCTTTATCATGATGTATAGTTGGTGAAATTGTAAAATACCAAATAATTAGTAAACAAATTAGTCAAATAAAGTTAAATGACTATAGTCAACCAAAGGGAAAGTTTTTGTTTAGATTATTAGTGCTCAGTCGGGAGATCTTTCTGTAAACATTGAAGAAATGTTTAATCCTAGGTAGATTTAAAACTTTAGCACACTAATTCATGCATTGATTACGGATAAAGTTAATAGGTCCTTAGAATGCTAGATTGCACTTAAGTCTATCTGGTGACGATCTCAGGCACAGACATATGATCTAGAATTTTCTTTCCGGTTAGCTTAAACTATCTGTTGATTATAAGCAAAGATGGATAGTGGCTAACAGTGGAATCCAGAACGCTCGTTTCATTCTATTTGGTATTCGTCAGCTGGCCACTATCCATCTTTTTTATAAAGCTTGTGACTTAAGACAATATCGAGGCAACCCGTACAATATTCATATATGCCAACAAGAAACTGATCAATTGCAGTCCTAAACAATACCAAGTGTATCTATAGATTATTACAGAATTTGAAGAATATTTTTCCACGAACGTTCTCCGAATTAATGGTTAATTTATACAAATTACCAAGTATTCCAGAGAAATATAGACGATACCGTTACTCTATGAACATATTTTATCTCACAACTTAAGTTTTAAGATATAGGATTATATTAATTATATTATTTGATTACTGCTTTTATTATTTTACATCTTTCATCAAAATAAATACGACCATTCATTGAAGTATTCCTTACTATTGCTGTACGTTTTCAAAACAATCTGAATAAAATTAATTATTACTAGGATGTAAGTGTAGTAGCAGTAATTCAATATATGAATAGCATACACTACTAAATTGCTTCATCTAAACGGTCACCAAAAACTAATTGCAAGAAGAATTTCCACAGTTTAAGTGAACATTTGTGACCAATGGAGTTCAACAACGTCGTGGACTGTCGTTCTGTAATATACTGAGTTTACCGAGTCAGAAACAGAGGTGAGCCGTTCACCACGAAGCCTGAATGTCCTGGGTTTGATCTCTAGAGTGGTCATAAGTGTATACTGCTTCTGAGTCCAACCTGTGATGAAACAACTATCCAGCAATTCCTAGTTTTCAATGGTTTTCAAGCTGAAATCAGCTTGTAATGTAAACTATCTATGAAGTTAGTAATATCGGCTGTTAATTAATCGCGATATTTATGGTGTTTTATTCATTGTTTGAACTACATGTCCCTTCAGTAATCATTCGAAGTGATAAACAACTGTACGTTGTAATCACTGAATTTTAATCCACAGCTGAAAAGCTAATATTTAACTTACAATAATGATTATAAGTCATCAAAAGAATCCAGTGTTTTTGGCTAACACAAATGGCATTACAAATAACCATTAGTAATCAGAGTTTACCGAAGAATTTTTTAATACTTACGTCCGTCTTATGAACAATCCATACACATTTACTTGGGTTAACCAGTATTCAATTGAGTTTAACTAAAAAAATATCTAATATTCAGTACATTTTGCTTCTCGGTACTTCATTAATTTCATACGAATTCATGTTCAAAATCTAAACTATAACGAATAACTAATGTTTGAGTTGTCTACATAAGTACGTGAGATCAGTTAATCATTTCGATCACTTAACTTTTGTAATACATGTGTAAAAGTGATGAGTGTATGTATGTGGTTTTGACACATTTGAAAAAAAACACACTTTTATCTCACAAAGAAAAGAAAACAACTTAGTTGCTATGTTGTTTTAAATACTTTAAATGTTGTTTTTAGGTTTAAAAAAATCTTATTTAGGATTTATTGTTTATTTTTCCACCTTGTATTTAAACGCTGATGCATAATGGATTCCAATCACTATTATTCTATTCAGATCTTTAATTGTAAACATTGACAGTTGATGATTGTGAAGTGTGTATATGTTAAAATCATCTTGTTAGTAATAATACATATTTTTATAACCTAGAGAAATAATAACATCTACTTCCGATTTCTAACACTAATGATGTTACGTCATATTGTGAAATAAATTTATTTATTTGTTTATGTATTCATAGACATGGATATTTCAAAAAAAGTAACTCGGTTATTTTACTGATAGATGAATAAAATAGTTGTTAAGTGAATTAACTCGATTCTTATCATAAGAGAGAATATTTCAATTCGTTTGACTAAAACATTGTACACTTATAATAATTAGTACAATGGTTAAAATTTAAATAGATTAAAACTATGCAGTATCAGTTGATTACTCACTATTCTTAGATATATTAATGGTTATTGGTAAGAATTTAGTGATATTAATCTTCGTATTATTGGCTTATTGATGTGATACTTGGAATTGTAAACCCATGACAGAAATCGCTACTCATATTTGGATCAATAGTCTGGCTTTCTATTTATGTTTAAACAACCAAAGTAGTTTATCGAAATGGTTGTCATTTTTCCATTTAATTAACCTATCTGATGACAGCAAATATATAAATATTATGACTACTGGAAATCGATGTATTGTAGTACCGTATAGAATTCCAATCACAAAGAGAAATGTTGATAATATGCTTTCCAATAAAGCTTCTATCTAACAATCTTAATTTTATTTGATTAGATTTTAACTCAGTTATCTATGGTGACTTATTCAAAAATGGATATTATAGTCACATAAGGAAGTCTTTATCTTTCCAATAGAATGACTAATGATTTCAGATAATTTCACGAAATGCCGATTTTAGAAAATATAAAGCATCTGAGACGTATATATGTTTAGAAGATGTATTCAGTAACAAAGTAAAGACCTTTGTTGTAATATGCCGAATCAAAATTAAAAATGTATATATCTAACTTTGCTCACTATAACTATGATCATTTCTATATTAGGTCACAGCGATTGCATTGGATAATGGAAAACCTCGTTTATCGTCGTCTGTTTTAATCAATATAACTGTCTTGGATGTCAACGACCACAGTCCAGTCTTGGCGTCATATGAAGCCGATGAGTCTCTTTTAAAAACCAATGATCTACCTATAGGACGTTTTGGTTTGAAAACTTATTTATTGTGAGAGAAAATATGCCGGTCAATACATATATGGGTAACATACTGGCATCTGATAAAGATGAAGGATTAAATGCTGAATTGAGATTCATGTTGTTTCCAGATCCAGTATACCGCCTACACGAAAGGTTCAGACTTTTACCTAATGGTTCACTGTACACAAATGTTGAGTTGGATAGAGAAGAGAAGGTAAGTGTAATGCTGGCTGATTACTATTGAAACATGTCTATTACATCACTAACCTACTTAATATTTTGTTAGTAGTATAGAATATTAGGATAAACATAGATGTTCTGGGACTAATCACAATGCTCTGAAAGGATAGGAAAAGGTAATTGTAACTGATTTATATAAAATCCAAAGTTCTCCAAATAACTTATGGCTATCAAACATGAAAAACTCATCTTAGTTCCTTCGACTACACATACAATTATTTTCATCCCTCACGTAGGAAAAATTGTTAACCAAGTTAAATCTAGTTTGAAAAAACACTGAAGTAAATGGTTTACTTCTATAAAATTACAATACTAATTATTTGTATAGTTTTTTTTGGGGGGGGACAGAAACTGTTGTACTCCATCTCCGATTAGATTGCTAACTGATGTCTCTAAAAGCTTAAATAGGCTACTATGAGAATATAGAATACTAGATCTGAATGGAGAGTTTTTTGAAGAGCTGAATTACAGTCGTATTTATTTATATCCCAAATGAGTCGTAAACAGACAAGTATTTTGTCATCTTGGTCAGTCGAATAATCTAATTACTCTAAATAGATATTCAATAATACCAGTTCTCATTTATTATATAGCCTTATGACAATATATGATCTATTTGTTCTTTCTAACCATATTACAAATGACAATGGTCAAAATATTCCCATATATATAGTAATGAATCTATGTATTGATTTGTAGGATCATTATCGCCTCACAGTCGTTGTGAGTGACCAGTCACCTGATGAACCATTAACAACAACTGGAACTATTGGCATCATTGTTCTGGACTTAAATGATAACCAACCCCAGTTTTTGAGTCCACATGGACTTTTAATTCCAAGTACGTTGAATATTATTCCCTTTGTAAATAATAGTCCTACACCAAAGTCAGACAGTGATTTTAAAAGAATTTTATATAGTAAGCCTAACATTACTTACCAGTGAATTTACTGAAATATGTGATACACTTTGTCACATAGAAATAGTGGAAAGTTAACTATAGTTCAAAATAATCCATGTCTGAATAATTATGATATCAGTGAAAGATATTCAAATAAATCAAGTTATTCGATACTGTTTGTCATCTAATGTGCTCATATTGTTGTACACTCTTCATTTCGTTTTATATCATGATGTGCTCTAATAAAATTCTACACTGCAATACAACTAGAGAAGGTATTACAGCAAACAAATTCGATAGTCCCATTGTTGTCGTTGACCTCAAATGAAAGTCAGTAGATCCTAAATGCGAACTGTTGATAAAGAAAAGCTATTCACTACCATAAGGCATGCTTTCTTATTTATGGTTTCTAAAGATAATGCACTACTTCTGTTAATTTCTGATACTACATGTTTAGTGACTCAAACAATTTCCGTTCACAAATTTCTCTCGTCGATAGTTTTTTCTGCCAATAATATTACGTAATATAAGGACATTTCACAGCTTACTGAAGAACGTAGACTCTTCAAAAAATCTTCAAAGGTAAATATTTTGATATTTGGTGTATAACGGTTGTGTTGACGTCAATTGAAGAATGTATATTTGAAACAGGCTCGTGTTAGGACTGTTTGGAAGTTAGAATTTGCAATTTGACAGTTAAAGAAGCCTAGAAGGAGAAGAACCAAGAGAAAAGTGATTCATACTTGTACAAGTTGAAACTGTTTACATTATCATTTCAGTGAGATGGATCTGAAACGAAAGGATCCTCAAACTATCCACAATGAGTAATAATTAAACTATCAAGCAGATTGATTGTAAGTCAGCAATTTATACTACTCATTTGGTGTTTATGTTCACAAAAGTCAGTGGTTATGAAGACCATGGCAGAAGGTGTGTAATGAGTTATCGACCTCCACAGAAAATATACATAAATGTGAAAAACAGAGGAAATGATCTTTTAAGTATTTAATGGGTTTGGCTGTCGAAAAAGTTGTGGAAGATCATGAGTACTCAATACCATTTCCAACTGAAAATATACTGACGCAATTAGTCCATGAGCAGAACCTTTTCTGTCGAGAATTGTTTGCATATCTTTTTCGAAGTTCTATAGTAGTTTTAAATTGCAGTTAATTATTCTATTCAAGTGGTGTATGTCAGTACGTAGAGTTAATAAAACTAAATTTATGGAACATTTCTGTAAATATCTTCGAAATTTCGGAGTTTTATTTCTCCTAAATTACTTTAACTGGTTATCTATTACGAATACCCTTAAATAGATCTTTGCATTTTTCCTTACGCTTAGATAACACACAACTCACTGGATTCAAACGACATATGAATAAGGGCATCGTACTTTATGACCAACCTTTTGAAGATCACAATTATAAAGTAGTAAAGGGCAATCAAAAGCGTAGTGATCAAGAATATCAAAGTGAATCAAGTCCGCTTACAGATACAAATACACAGTCTACGGCTCCTGAGCCAGTAGTTCGCCTATCTGTTTACGAAAAACCTGATCAAGTGATAAGTAAACTGTATGCTGAAGATCCAGATGCTGGAGACAATGGGGCTGTATTTTACTTGCTTGAAGAATTTTATGATTTATCAGTGGATAAGATCAAACCAAATCCTCTCATTAGAGTGCAGCCAGAGACTGGCGAATTAATATTAATACGTCATATGGCACCAATTGATTTGGGGTATCACTTCTTTAAAGTGACCGCATCTGACCGCGGGCATCCTCAAATGAAAATAGATCAAAAGGTAACTCGTCAATATTATATTTACAAGATTAATTGGTTTATTATTACATAAGATGATGACAATTCGTCCTTCTTTCCACACTCATTTCAGATTCTTCCGTTAATTGTTGAAGACAAGCCTGCGTCGGGAGGCTTGGGACAAAGTTCATTATCATCTAGTTACTATGTGAGCAACATAACTGGACTTGGACTCGATGAATGGGGTCCAAGCGGTGGCAAAAACATCCTAATTATTACTGCGTTATCCATCGTTTCAGGAATTCTAGCAGCTATACTAATTTCGGCTGTTTTTTGTGTTACCAAACCATGCTCACGAAATCGTCATGGAAATAGATGCGCAAATGGAAGACATGATAGATTAAGAAATAGACCTCCAACGTATCCAGGAGGTCGAGACTCAAATAATGGAATAATAGTGGATGAAAATGGGTCTTTCATTAATGGTACAATGGATCAACGAGGTTTTCCAGTTTCTAATGGTTCTCATCATACGACATTTCATAGGCCTCCTGGTCCACTTAACGGTGACGTGTGTATGGACAACTGGTTGCATCATGTTAGAGATAGTCAAGCGAATTACGGAAATATGTCGTTCCCATTCCATAGTCCTTCGAATGATTCAGAAAACGACATTTCAAATGACCAACATATTCTCATAAATCCCAGGTATAATAATCAAACAGAAAACCATATGGTAAGTTAACATAAGCGATGATTAATTGATATATAAATTTACATTGAAAACGGTGACAGAACTTTAACATTTTTAGCATTGTAGTAATATTTTATCATATGTAGTTAACCACTTAATTATATGATAAATCCTTAAATAAGTAAGACTTTAGTATTTATAATTTTCAAATATATGCTGGACTAATCAATTCTAAATGTCGCACTCTGAATCTAAGTAGCTTTTCAAGTTATTTATCTGTATGATCACAGTTACCCTTGGAGGGACATTATGTTATAGATGAAACAATAGATCAATCAAGCAGTTAGTCAATTACCAATGAACAAAATTATTTGTTGTTTATAGGATTTAAAGTCTCGATGATAAACAGGAAATTATTACAGCGTTTTCCGGAAGAAATAATCCTTACAATTCAAGATACGTCAGATATACTTTTACAAATCTGTCGATAACATTATAGAAGATTCGCTCTTAGCTACTGAGATCTTTACAGGTGTGTCGACGGGAAACAATCCTTTAGTGTAAGATTTTAACAGCAGTCAACATAAAAGACCCTTTAACCCTTAGTCCCTGAATCGGTCACTGGTTCATCACTGTTAGTTACAAGACACTTGAATGACAATACAGTAAGATGTCTTATCAGGTAGAAAACAGTGAGTTGTCGGAGTTTAGCATGTATTCTTCTGAATTATCAATTATAGTGGGATACTGTGTAATACACAAATATTGTTTACTTTAAACTATTAGAAGCAAATTTGTGAACTCATTGAATTCAGACCTGGTTTATTTTTTAAGTCTTTTATAATAAACGTTCCAGCGAAACGTTTTATCATTTCATTAAAGTTAAGTACCAACAAATAAAATGGTCAATTTCTATTTATCAGAAGGAGGTTTTGTGTAGATTTTAGTAATTTTATAGTTGAATTCATGAGTCATTTTAAGCTAGACTATCATGGAAAAACTGGAAGCACTGGGCGGCTATTTCGTCCTATTGTGGGACTCCTCAACAATTCGCATTGACGACCCCGTGGTCTAGCTTCAATTAACTAATGAATTCAACTATTAAATTACTAAACTATTCACAAAAGCCCCTTCCGATAATAATCATCATATGCTCACTGGTGACTGGGTTCTAGAGGTATTTCCTGAACTTCTAGTGAGAAGCCGTGACCAGTGGAGTTCAACCGGGTCTGTTGTGAGATAGTAACTCATTGAAGACATTGGTAAACGGTGGCTCGACTTCGTGGATCGGTTGAAGTTAGACAGTAACACCGTTGGATGCCGGTTCAGTGTTCCAGATGTTAAGTGTCCGCGCGCGAGACCGGTAGGTCCTGGGTTCGAATCCCACAGGCGGGATCGTGAATGCGCACTGAGGAGGAGCTCCACACCAGAATGAAACGGTCGTCGAGTGCTTCCAGGTATTTCTGTTTAGCCTATCAGTAAGTGATGATTTAACGATAACATAGCGCATTGTTGAACAGAAATGGTGCATCTTTAAAATATGCAAATTTCAATAATTGTTTTGACTCATTTCCTATCTTTCTATTTTTATCTAAAATGAAAATCTTATTTATTGGTCAACTCAAGAATTATACACAGAATGAAACACCGCAAGTTACGTACGAAAACTTGAGGAATAGTCAACTTCATGATATTCATATCTCACCTGATTTAGCTTCGGCTAATCTATCACTTTCCTCCAGAAATAATGACCAAGCTGTTGCTGTACGTGTTCTCAATCAACAAATGAGTACTGATGGACTTGATGAAATTCAAGATCAAATATTTCTACCCCGATCCAATAGACTTTCTGGGATAACAATTGGTTATTCTAATGATTCAATGACTTCAACTTCGAACAGTGCCTTGCCTGCATTTAATATAAAACTGGATCCTGTAAATGCTTTTTGTGTTACTAGACCGATACCGGTAGTGTCTAAAATTATATGCAATTTCAATGAAGATCAAATGGTAAGTAATTTAGAACTTGTTTATTCTAAAGAGTTTTATTATGACTAATAAGTAGTTTGGTGAAATACTACTGGTCAGAAGTGGTGAAAAAAAATTACAAAAACGACAGAGCATTCTACATGCAAACGGAAGCTCTTCCTCCTGATATTCTCAAACAATAGGACCAAATAGAGAAATTATAAACTTAGTTTTTTTATAATTATGGTTATTTGAAGTTTCTTGCATGTAAACAGAAGCAACTTTCCGACTAAACGTTCTGCTACCAGGTAATAACATACTTGTTTTAGTTGTGGGGAGAGTCACTTAGCACTTTGTAAAGAATGGACTTTCTCACTGCGAAATTTTAATCAGTATCTGACGGAATCGGTATAGTTCATCTCAGTTGTAGAGTAATTTCTAGTTGTTCCAGGAAAATCAGTCAACAGATGGTTGAATATCTTACTTATTCAATTATTTGACACTTAAATGGAGTGCATAACCTGGTTATAGTAATCCACTGCTAATATCTTTTCAACTAGGCGTATTATTACCTATTTTTTGTTGCTTCTACTAGCTTTGCTGTGGAACTGGTATCAAATCAAGTTTCTTGAAATAATCATTGAATTGCTTATTCTCCTCATAAGTGCCTTAGTTATTTTTATATATTTCCATTGAACAGGATTCTCAGATAACAGAGAACAGTGAGGCTTTACACGAAGCAAATCCTATGAACTCAACACACTTTAAAATGAATCTACCTGATAATCCTTTGGATGACAGGTTAATTAGGCATCAAGGGAAGAGGTTAGTTACAACAGTACCTAAATTAGGGACATTTTACAACTGTATGACAGTAAGTCACAGATCAAATTTAGGTGTTGAACAAATCATATCATTTGAAGAACATGCATCCGATTCCGGTCGTGGTGGAAGTGAAGAAGAACTAACTGTACAAAATTGTGATCCACATAAGGCAGAAACAATCATTTCAAATATGAACCCTGAAGAAGGTAACGATTTTTTCATAAACTTTTCATGAAACCAATTAAAAGTCTTATACTAAAAAATTGGTGTCAATAAAGTTTTTTTTTAAATTTCATAATAGATTATGGGATCTAAATTAGTTTAATAATTTAGTTAATAAATTCAGACCTGTCCAAAGAGTATGACAAAATCAATCAACATGATTGAGACTGTTAAACATTACTTGACTTATTTCTAGGAGCCTCATAAGAATTAAATATCATCAACAATCTTTTATTCGAATTTTCATAGTTTTAAATCATACATTGATCCTAGCTGGATTACCAACAAAAACCAGGAAGCACCGAGTGGTTGTCTCGTCCTTGTATAGAACCCCTCAGGAGTGAGCATCTACCACCCAGCTACAAGTAATGTAACTCAGGACTTACGATCGTGAGCACAAATCCTTAACCTCTAGACCACTGATACGGCATCCAATCATATAAATATCAACAATTAATTCAGTATATTGTGTGAACGTCCCCATTGGTTGTGGTGGAAAACTTTCACCCAATATTACTAAACTCCATTGGTCATGGCTTTCCATCAGAACTCCAGGAATTTCATCTTAAAGTTAGTCAACTGAGAGAATATGGTTATTGTCAGTACATGACATTGTGAAGATTATAGAATCTTCATTGTTTTAAGATCAGTTCGCGAATTTACAACTGAAATTTTAAAAAAAATCTCCATATTAAAATAGGCATATTTATAAGAATGGTAGTTTTAACAAATTCTCGTCAGGTTCTATTGATATGAATTTTAATCCGTAATCAAATAGCCAAGTTTAACGCAAATAAAATTTCAAGAATAACTAAGTCGGATAAATTTAAGTTCGATAATTGCAGAGGTAAAGAGAACATGTGAATTAAGCATATTGAGGCCATTTTTTAAAGATCGGTATAACTAATGTTTTATGGGATATGAGTCTAATTAAGGTAGGAAAATAAACTGAATAAATTGCTGCTGAATCCTCAACTCGTACTTTTTTTATCAACGAAAATTCGTACTGAGAAATGTTTTCTCACCAACTCATTATTTCCTTTTCTTAACTAGGTGTAAGTATATGGAATGAGTCGACTATTCAAAATGATGCATCACTCAACTCAAACTTAACAGATAAATCTGATGTCAGTTTAAGTAATCCATGGTTTGAAACAACCGCCTCACCAATGGGATCAGATTATCAACGCAAAGATCCCTTTTGCATGTCCACATCATGAACAGAATGGAGAAAGACTATTAAAAACAAGTTAGAAAGGATTTAGTTTGCTTCAAAATTTGTATAATACGAGAAGAAATACTTATTTCAAGACAAATACTAACTTATCGGTAAAAACAACACATTATGATATTAAAAGCATTCTACAAAAGGAAAAACGATAAGTTTGATGTTCAATTCTGAGAAATAAAAATACCTTATGCTCTATTTATATAATCTCTCAGTTATTCCATCTTCATTCTTCTCTATGCATTCATCGTATTGTTTAATTTCACATATAATTAAGTGTAATTCAATGTCTGTCTCTATGGTATTGTATGAAAATTGATTATAGCTTCTCTCATGTATGTATATAAGCATATATCTGAATCTGTACATTTCCTTAAAAAACCCTATTGTTTGCTAATTATTGAAATTTTCATTCACACTGTCTTTATCTATAAATTTGTCACCAGGTTATGCTGTTTCTATATGATCAATAATTTCATAGTATACTTTGATTGATTGACAATTAACATGTAAATATATTTACTAGTTAGAGATACAATTAAAGTTTACATTCCTTAGGTTATTAATTAAGCAAAATAAAAAGATTGACACATTGAACTATACCTGTTTTATAAAAAAATTTCTGTGTTTGTATCTGTCTATTTAGAAAATCGCAAATACTTTCTTTTTTTAGATATTCCCTTTATTTAAACATTTCTCTACTAGGAAATCTAATTTAATCTAAAAATTTTCCTATTAATACCCCGAACTCGGGTTGTTTCGTTCCTGGAAATATTCTATTCTTAAAAACTAAAGGTAAAAATTCCGCAGACAACAGAAAGTCTTTGTCTTTTCACTTGCGAAGACGATGAAGTTAGATTTCAATGGGCAGTCAATGATAAGTAGTTTAGTATTAGTAAATAAAGAGTGTAGTTTAAAGTATCTTGTACAAAATATCTTATCTTCATAGACTGATTAAAAAAGGGTTTCGGTTAAAGCTTTCTAATTACACCAATGCCTATCGACTAGTAAGCTGTATTTGAAAGACGTCACAATGATATTAGATCTCATAAGTTGAGTTATATATTCTATACTACTCATAAGTAGTTCAAATATCTACGTAAAATTCCATGGTATGCTGATAGGTCACCCTTAAATATAATCGACCCTAAGAATATTTCATCTAAAATCTGTTTAATACGTATTTAAAGGTAAGAATATTTCATAAACAACATACTTAGCCCTTCATTAATCGACTTTCTGTCATCAGAACTGAATACTGTACTGACAAAATCTATTCAAAAACCATTCTCAGCAACCCATGAAGCATAAATAAACTTGTTAATTAAAATATTTGTTGGTTTTGGGATTTTGACCGACAATTCATAATTTTACAAAACGAAGTGAGGTATGGAAAGAGTCTACAAAACCAATAAAAGTAATTCTAATGTTTATCACTTCGGTTCTTATACAATTAGTTTACATTGTGGTTCTGGCGTAGTTAGATGCCTTATATAAAGATGAGGTGATAGTCCAATGCTCACTATTTTCAACGAATCCTCAACTGACTTCAATTTGCAATAACAACTAGGTTCAAACCAAACAAATTCATCATTAAAAAATAGCTTGCTGTAGTTACATTTTCTAGTGGGAAGCAAAACTGATTCTTGTCTTTTCCATAAAAATAAGTAAATCTGATTTATTACAAATCGGAAACTACAGTGATGAAAACCAATATAGCTGAATATTATTTTCACAATGTTGACATAAAATTTTGCATTTACTCGTTTTGTAAATATTGGGTAGTATTAGCGTGATATATATCCAAACAAAACCACTGCAAGATTCGTGTACAGTCATATATATATATATATACGCTAGATAGTAAACTATAAAGAAACAATAATAAGTTGTATGACATGATAGTGTACAAGCTCATTGAGACTACATAACTCGATATTACGTGAAAAGCAATAAGAATATTGAATAAAATTGATAGTGGCATATGAAGACACTTTCTTGGGAATGAAAGGATAAGAGGAGTAAAGTACTGTGGTTATTATCATTCATTTTTATTACCAGACGATAGCAGTCAAGGATTGATAAATATGATTATGTCAAGGGCAAAATAAGTCTTAAAGTAACATAAGTTAAAATCAGCGTATAATTATGAGAAGTATGTTATCTCTTAACTATTTTCGAATGAGATGCCTCATTTTTTATTCGAAGAACTCTGTGTTAACTAAAGGTTGTGTAGAAAGCTTAAATTGAGTTAGCTGAATGTCAGTCATATGAAACTACTTTGTCATAAGGTGTGATCTAGCGACCTATTGTTATGACACACGGTATCAAAGACTGATACTAATACACAAACTTCCTATAAGCAAGACCTCAACCGATTACTGAGTGAAAAGACTAAGAGTAAAGGAGAAAGTTTACGGGACTAAACCGAATTCAATATAATAATCTTTAGTAAATGAAATAATTTCTCGACTAATAACATGCACTTGTCATTTGACGACTTTTGATTGGTTTACTGTATTACCTATCATATTATATTTGAACTGATTGGTATAAGACATTAACTTGAGCTACCGTTCAGCTCATAGGAGAAGTGGTCTAATATTTAGGGACTTTGACCTTCAAATTTTGGGTTATGTGTATGAAGTTAGTTCGATATTCTTCAGCTAGTCAGTTAAGTATTATTACATACCTTCATATAAAATGCTTCACCCAAAGCCGAATACATACATTTATATTTGATAAGTGATTTACACTAGAATTTATTTATTACTTACGTGAAAATCTAATGTAAAGAACATTAGCTTATTCTAATGGTTTAATAATTTCAATACAATCTAGATAAATGATAATCTACTGTCTGAAACAAAAATCATTTCTGAACCTGTTATATTCGAGCGAAGATTCAATTATGGGTAACTTCCAAGGACTATTGGTGGACTAATATTCTATAAATATTCTTATTGTATAATTATTCAACAATTAGATTGTGTATATTTATATTCTTATTATTATAAGCTTTAATTTGATCCATAGACTATTACTTTACGATTTATCATTCCTGAATTATGGCCTGTCTATTAATTACTATCTCCCTCATTCACAGCCACTTTTTGGCTTTACTGTGTACACATGTTATTTTCTATTTCATGGTACATTGTGGTCTGCTTGATTGATATATGGACCGAGTATGTCTGAAATAAACGATTCGACTCGATTCACATTGCTGAAGCTGGTATTGTGTTCTGGACTCAAGCGGACGGGCTAGGCGGAAATAGGACCAATAAGGACGCTAGACTGCTCATACCGGTCGAACGTCATTGGTTTAGCACAGTGTTAAGATTGTATAAGTCGTATTTTGATTGATGGATAAATCACGATAAAAAGCCGGACATAAAATCACAACAGAACCAATGTGGCTAGTAAATTTGTTATCGATAGATTTAGATAGCTTTACTTGATAGTAATCAAAAGAACGATTGTATTCATAAATATCTTTATCATTGTTGTTGTTTTCAAATTTATCTCATATAACTCATATCATTGTTAATATCTTATGTGTGCCGAGAAATTTACCTTTATTCATATCATGAATTCAATAAAATTCTTCAATGATCTAGTAAAGTTCCAAATATTACATGAACTTTTGAGCTTTCAGGCGATCATTAAAGTGATAATTGTCAATCTAAATCATATAAGAAGTTACATTCTATCTCAAATAATTACATTTTTCACGGACAGATAAACTTAGAAACTATACCTTTAACCATCAGTAATAATCTGGTATTTTAGTGTACATAAGTTGCAAAATGTAGTTTAGAGACAGTTTAAACACACATTAATTAGTTCCTTAACATTTACATTGAAAATAAAAAACTTTATGAAGTGTTCAATGCAGTGAATGACAAACAGTTACATATTTTTTTGTTTATTCAACCAACTATAGGTAACATTACTTGATTAGTGAAATTTTTCAATCTGGTAACAGTCAAATATAAACTTAACAAATAAATTCCAGCTCAGTACTCTAAAAGTTAAGCGTTCTTGCGCGAGACAGATAGATCCTGGCTTCGAATCCCGCGAGGCGGGATCGTGGATGCACACTACTGAAGAGTCTGTGGAGGAACGTTATTTAATCGTCATTTAGATCGAACGAGGTTGTTGAAAGGGCTCTCCACTTTAGTGGTCCGAGATCTGACTCCAAGGCGACTGTAATGATGATTGTTGTTGAAATATATATGTCGCCTATCCTCATATATAACCATTGACTTTAATCGCGTTAGTCAATAACGCAGTTAGATAAGTCAAATAACGAGAATGGACTTTTGAATACATATATTTTGTATATGAAGCGAATGGAATAGAGAGAAGAGAAACGACGCGCAGTGGAGATGGCGGGTAAGCCAACTCCCCTTTAACCAAACGTTAATCAATATTTATAGTTAAACGAAAATAAGTTACAAACATGTGATGAGTAATGGGATAAGAAGTGTACACACACCTACGCGCTCATATAAAAGCAGTCAAGATTGATAAGCGAATAATTACCAAGGTCAGAATGTGACTCGAGCAGAATGAATAGATTGAGCTGTCCGAAAGCTAGAATAAGGTATATAAGCTTAACATAATAACAGACACTACAAGTCCCACAGTAGGATGGAACGGCCGTCTAGTGCTTAAAGGTTTTTCATGGTAGTCTAGCTTCAATTGACTTATGAACTCAACTATTAAAATACCTTTTTCTGTTAATAAATAAATAAATGACAATAAATCATTCACATTAAACTTTGTTATCACTAGTAATTTCCTTCAATATTTATTACATTTGTTTTATTAAGGTCAATTATATATTTTTTTTGTTTACCAACAATAAAGTGTCGATGTACTTTAAAGATATTCTTTAAATATCAATCTAGAAAAAGAAAGAAAAAGAGCTGAATGTAATTTCGAATTCAATGAAAATCAAGAAAAAAATATACATTTATGTTTAAA